CATAAAAGTGATACCAGGGGAGTGGACTCATGAAAGCACAGCAGTGTCATCAAGGGGTGATCATGCAAGACGAAACTAGAAGCAGCAGGCAGCAGGACAGACCCACAGCTGTCTGCCAGCTGCTGACGTTTCCCAAGCTCCAACAGCTCACGTAGCTGACGTGTGTCTTGACTCGAACAGCCCAGCGAACCCCGACGAACGAAAAAAGGAATTTTTCACAAATCTGTTGGAACACCAGTCTTGAATGACGACGGCAGGGCTTGGATCCGTGCTACATACGGTAGATAGCAACGGCGAGAGAAGCGGGTGCTTTTTTCGCGATACACAGCATAGATTGATGCTGAATTTTTTTTTTTTAAGTTTGGAAAACCGAAGGCGTTTCCTTGGTCCGCTGAACTGAATAGGAGATCTGCACACCTCCCACGTGCCCTGAACGATCAATAGGCGAGGGGTGATTGCCCGCACTCTCATTGCGTGTTAAGACCAGCAGCCTTGGCAGCGTACTTCCATCAAGCAAACGTGTTGGACAAAAAATGCAATCGGGGAAGTTGCGTTAGGGTAAGGGATAGGGTGCGGTCCCAGCAGCCTTCGCAGTTTTCTACTTCGTATTAAGTATACATGTTGGATGAAGCATCCATCTTGGAAGGTGGGTTAGTCCTGTAAGACGGACGTGGGTTCGATCCCACAATTCGGTGGAAGCGACTCGACTTTTGATTTTTTACGAGCGGATTATTTTTCCTCCTCCAATCCTCCCCGTTATATCTACGTAGATCCCTTCCATGCCGGCGGCCTTCGAAAGCCATGGGATGGACCTGCGATGGCAGGGCTGGGTCGCGTCTACTTACGGCCTCATCAGCTTTTTCGTCGGGCCGGTAAGCGATCAAGCTCCAAGCCCCACAAGGGTTGGTGTTTATCCTGCATGCAGGTGCTTGCTTGCCTTGATGCTGGCGATCCTTTCAAGACAGAGGCGCGGGGTCGCGCAATCATCTGTCTCAAAAACGTTGTTCAAAGCGTTACGTGTCATTTCCAGCCCGTCGCTAGATTACTGCTGTGGATGGACGCTCAGCCGTACATTTCCGCGGGTCAAGTCAGGTCAGGCCTTGCAGCCTTTGCCTTTTTGGACGATACGTATTCGAGATGGACTGTCAAGGGATCGTTTGTTGTGAGAGGACGGATGATCGCTCGGCACATCGGTCTGCTTCCGGTCGTGTGCTCGATTTCCCGCTCTCTCTCTGTCTCTCCTCGTCTGCGTGTGATCTCTCTGCATACATACAACCAAACACCGCCCGTTTTTTTTTGTTCCGGTCGGTATTAAAAACGGGCTGGCCGTCGTTGTTTGTCCTTTCCGGCAGATGCTGGGCCGGGTGAGCGACTCCATGGGTAGAGTGGCGATGCTGAAGATGTCCTGCGTGGGCAACATAATCGGGGCGCTTGGGTCCCTGTACGCCACGGGGAGGTGGACGTTCATAGCGTCCAGGTCAGTCTTGTCTCCTCCCGGCGCTGAACCCCTGTGTGTATTGCTCGGTGCGGCAAGAGTTCAATCCTACAGTCGTAGGCTCTCTATAAGGCGGGTGCCCGCTTTCGGGTGGGTGAAATTGGCTGGCACAGATGGAATGTTCAGAACGGTTAATACATTGAATGGTGCGGGTGCCCGGTTTTGGGCGGTGAATCGTTGTGGCGCGTACCCGCCTTACTAAGGGCCTACGAGTGCATCTAGATGACGTTTCACGCCGGTTTTTTTTTTTCTGTTCTGGGTCGGGCCTCCTCTCCGTGCGGGAGAAGGTTTAGGTGAATTTACGCGTAAGTGTGTAGTCGAAACCATGGCCACGCACCAGCCGCGTAGAGCCTGTTTGGTTCGTGGTGTGGGCGTTGTGCAAACTTCGGTTGCCTTTGTCTCGTTCGGTTCGACGAGGGATCTCTTTGCCGCTGTGGCTTGGTTTGTATTGATCGTTCAGCTTAATCCCCGCGACGCAATCTTAACCTTGCATGGTCGTCATTCTCTCTATTTTTGAGCGTTGCCTGCTCCGCGAAGTTGATGCAGGCGACTCCATACGACAACCTTGCCGAATAGTAGTATTGCTGTTATGGGAAAGCGAGTGCCATTATTCGTCTCTCTTTGTCTGTCATCGTATTTCTCTCTTTATATCTCAGAAAGGTGTTTCCCAGTTCGTAAGGGTGTTGGAGCCAGTTCCGTCTTCGAAGTAAGTGGCTGCTTGAACCCGGGGTGGACGGCGACATGACGAACACCCAACACCGCTGAGATACTCCCTGGCTGCTGTTGTTTCCGTTTTATCCATCTGCTCTCTGTCTGTTTCTCTCTCCCCCCCCCCAACCCCCTTACTTTTTTCCTTTGTAAGAACCCGGCAAGAATGTTGAAAAGGTCCCTCCCCATTAACCAGGGGGAAAAGGGGGAAATTAAAGAAAGGAAGGCCGAAACCTCGAAAAAACTGGGGAAAAAAAGAAGGGGAAAAACGGAAAAATTTTTCCCTTTTTTTTTTTTCTTAAACCCAAACCAAAAAAGGAAGGGAAAAAAAAGAAAAAAGGGGGGGAAGGGCCCCCAAAAACAAACCCTTTTTGGTTATTTAGCCCTTGGAGGTTTTTATGGAGGGAGTAAATCCCACGAAAGTTGAATTTTTGTTGGGGCCTTAAGCATTTTTTCCAAAAAAAATTGGAAAAATTTTTGGAACCCCCCCCCCCCCCACCAC